TGCGGAGTATATCAAGAAGTGATTGTTTTCCACCTAGAGTCATAGTTAGTCATTTTAGTAGGTGTCGATACTATTATGTTGTAGCATATGTGATGCATCGGTGTCTCTTACGTCATTTTTATTTTTACTGCAGTAAGAGTCAGTCCCTCGTTACTAATCTAAAGTCATTGGTTTTATCAGAAAAGTTTTGCTTTTTTCATCGCTACGGTTATGTAGTTCGATATCGATAAACCGACGCTGTTTGGCCCTTTTATTGTACATAACGTCCTCCAGCAGAATAAGTACTAACAGTTTAGTCTGCTATATGAATCAGACTGACACCTTTCCGGCATACTATACTGGTGATCATTTACTCGGCCGTCTGATTCGCATTCTTATGGGCTAAAATTGAGGCCCCTGCTAGCGGTTTAGCTCCCTGAGTTTCCGACTTTGCAAGCATGACTGGGCTAAAAAATTTTACCTGTATGTTCGGGATTTTATTTTAAAAGTTTCTCAAATTTAAGAGCGCTTTAGAAACGGCTGATGGCCTCTGTTGTAAGCTGACCACACCGTGCCCTAAAAGGACACCTACTAGACCGGATCTAAGTCATGAAACTCAGAAGAACTGGGAAATACCGCGCAGTCAGTTGCAGTTCGGGTACAAATTAGGCCAGGGCAATTTCGGCGAAGTGTGGTACGGTAAGGGAAATATGCAGCAGCGTATTGGCACCCCTCGAACACTGTTTTTGCAGGAAAGTGGAAAGCGGTCGTTGATGTTGCCATTAAAACACTCAAGCAGGGTGCCATGTCTCGCCAGGCGTTTCTTGAAGAAGCTGCTATAATGAAGCAGTGCGACCACCCGAACTTAGTCAAGCTTTATGCTGTGTGTACAAAAGAAGAGCCGGTGTGCATCGTCACCGAGTACATGTCGAACGGTAGTCTTCTGGAATACTTAAGAGCTGGCGACGGCAAGCATTTGCAGTTAAACGCTCTGGTTGACATGTGTGCACAGGTAATAATTTTCTGTTTGATTATTTATTTTCGTCTTATACCCATCCCGCTGTCTGCCGTGCAGTAAATACATTGAAACATTCGCTTCATGATAAATGTTATCCCCGTTTAGAGGGACCTTTTGGTGTGAAAATCTGGAAATGTTTTTACTCCGGATTCATTGTCTTGACCATCTAAATAGCATTGAACGTGTTATTTTTTCCATATTCTGATCTGTCTGCTGTTTTTTTTTCAGAAGACGAGAAGATATGACTAAAATATTTCACCATGCTTTTGTAGGGAATATGCGGGCGGTGATTACCAGTCTTTCCATTCTAATTTGTGCACTGATTGCCCTTTTAACAGATTTGCCAAATAGGTTCGTCAGCCTCTTGTTCAAGAACCACTGCGTTATTGACTAATCGATGTAAGATTCATTACAGGTCTTTATTGCCTGCATAAGCATATGACGAATCAGAAATGTTCTATTTTTGGAATAACAGTTATAAAATTGGGTTCAGATATATTCATTATTAATGAGTTGTCACGTTCTGTGGTTATGGATACAACAGCGGGTTCATGAATCGGCTAAACAATATTATCCTTTATCGGGGCAAATAGTGAGAATCATTCAATTCTTTGAGTGACTTCTTCAGCCCTGATAGGCCTGATGCTTCTTTGTTCTTGAAGAGATTGCTAAATTTGCTGGTTTGCCGTAGATCGCGAATGGTATGGCGTACCTGGAAGAGCATCATATGGTCCATCGTGACTTAGCCGCCCGTAACATTTTGGTCGGTGATAAAATTGCAGGCGTTCCTACCGTGAAGGTTGCCGACTTTGGTCTAGCGCGCGTCATCCAAGACGATGAGTATAACGCCCGGACAGGTACCACGCTATCGCTGCCTTCACTTGCAAACTTAGTGATGCGTGCAGCAGTTGACATTTTGAAATTTAAATTCTCGTTTTAGGCGCCAAATTTCCTATAAAATGGACTGCTCCCGAAGCGGCGCTGTACGGCACGTTCACCATCAAGTCTGACGTGTGGTCTTACGGGATACTGCTTTATGAGATTATCACGAAAGGCCAGACACCTTATCCAGGTATGATTGTTTATAGCGATATATAGTTAACGTAAATTGTGACAGCATATTTGCTATTGGTTTCCACTGCCTCGTTATGATAGTTATGGTGAAGAACAGTTACTTATTGTCTGCCATCAGTTGCTGTTTCTTTCGAGTTACGGGAACAGACGTCATTCTTTAGGATGACGCTCATCCTCAAGTGCAGAAATTTACCACCAATCAGGGGCGCAGTTCAAGACCCAGCAGTAGTTTTAACTTATCTTTAGTATATAAATGCCCTTATCCAACTGATACACTTCGCTAACGCTGTACTCGCACTTTCTCGACATGTATGCATCAAACTGTAGGGTACCGCTAACTCGATTCACAGGAAACGAAGCTCGCGAGCGCACCATTCACGTAGTGACAGCTAAACTGTTGTATGAAATGTTGCCAGAATAGACGAGCCGTCATTTTCCATTATCTTGGAACTGTCTTAGGTTTGGACTAAATGTGGTGGTTATAGTCCTAATCAAAATCGACACGTGGAGCTGACATAAGCGAATTTAAGGGTCTGTGCGAAGAGTCTAGAAAAAGATCCTGCTGTTATTCGTGAAGAAGATCGAAAGAAAGACGCTGCAGAAGACAAATCGTAGACAGCGACTGACGGTTTTCGACGCGGCGGTGTTCCAAGTGTTCAATTCCAGCGCAGACTGAAGCCTCTGATGCAGCTGCGACGGCAACTGCGAGAAGTTAGTCGAGAGACTCTGGTGCTGTGTAATGCCTGCGTGTGTGCTGACATCAGGGAGAGCGAAAGGAACGATCTCAGAAGAGACAGAGTTCGCTAGAGAAGTGGAGGAGAATGAAGAGTGATGGGGTCGATACATTAGTGTACTTTCTTCTCTGCAAGCTCATTCGACGGAGGCAGAGGGGAGGCTTCGAGACTTTCTCATTACGAAAATGAGAGAAAACCGCCAAAGACCACAGAAACTTCATACAATAAGGAAGAAGTTAGCGCCTTACCAATCAACCATCACGATATTGAAGAACGGTGATGGCGCATTAATGTCTGACAGAGCTGAGATGCAGTTGATCTAGAAGAACTGTTTTACCAAGCTCTTTTCTTATGAAACGTTCACCGCCTACCATCACTATGTAAAATTGTTTCCTGTTAGTGCGAACGACTTAAAATGGTAATCGCTATAGTGATTCAGGGCTGGAATGTTAGAACCGAACTTAATGATATGAACATGTTATATCAATTGATGTTGCCCTCTAACATGCGGTACCTGTGCTACATTTAAACATCTAAATAGCACAGGGTAACCTGTTTAGTTCTCTTGTGACCATGCTCTTATCACCACGGCTCCATGATGTGTTAGTACCTGCAATGCATCGATCAATCTAACATCATGTTTTAAGGTTATTACCTTGCTCGTCACCGATATTGTCAGCAACATAAAAACGTTGGCTAGAATGCCGAGAATATGTTAATAATCATGATTTGACTAATGAACATTGACATAAGTTTGCCACATTTGTGTTGCTTTTCAGGTATGCAAAATAGAGAAGTTATTGAACAAGTTGAGAGAGGATATCGAATGCCTCGTCCACGAGACTGTTCCCAGCCGATGTATGAGATGATGATCCAGTGTTGGGATGCTACGCCTGATAACAGACCTACTTTTGAATATCTGTTTCACTTTTTCGATGATTATTTCGTTTCTGTACAACCTTCATACGTACCTAGCGACAGTTAATTTTATGGCGCTGTCATTGCGTATTTGTTAGATATACCATTTGTCAGTGGTCTTGAATCTCGGAATATTGCGATGACAATTTTTAGTTGCCGAAAACTTTTCAGTTATATCGGTTTTGTTTTGTCGCTGCCAAATTTGTTATCATTTTAATTGTTTTTACATCAGTGCATACGTTTTAAGCAAATTAGTCATACGATCATTGTTTGCTCAGTTATATAAACTGGTATTCTGTAAAAATGGTATTAATGTTATGGCGAAGTTTTGTCATCATGTTGTTTTGTCATCATTATCCCCATTTGTTGTTTTATTCTGTCATTCAGATAACTGTCAGTATTATTTTATCCAAATTTTCATGTTTATTAACTGCTGTTTTATCGTCATTTATAGCCTTTTGCTAATTAAAGCCAATTATCTTCGTGCCGCTCGTTTGCCTTTGTTTATTGACCTTGCTTCGTCACAAAAGTGATATACCCAAACTACCTCGAACTTACGGTACAATACATATCGACTATATTTCGATCATGAGGCGCTGTTTCGTTCAGTATTTTTCGGTGTTTTCAGTCTAGTGCCGTGGGTGATGTTCTGTTTTCACTGTTTCAGCTTACTGTTAGCGACTGATTGATTTTCATTCCGAATATTTCTTTGTCATCATCTTTCTCTGCGTGACAGAACTGATGGCAGTTTAAGGCTGATATTCTCAGTTGCATTGAATTTTTCGCATTTTGGAACCATTTGGAACCTTTAGTGCATCGATGAAAGGAAGGGTTTTTATTGGCATCAGTCTCCATTTAGTTGTTCATTCTCGATATAGATTCACGACCATTTCGTTCATTTTGTGATTTTCTCGTTATCAACTGATAGAACACGAAGTCTTGACTAGGTCCAAGTAAA